TTCTCGCCCAAAAGGTAGTTCGCGTAGGCCAACCATGCATCCGGAGACATGTCTGCAAAGAAAACCTTGTTCTTGAACTTAGAAGCAAGCATTGTCCAAGCATTGCCCTCCACTCGCAACACTGTACGCAGCTCCTCGGTGTGTTGCGGCATCACTCCTTTGTTTCTTTGCTTCACAATCCGCACGTGGCCCCCAGTGTCAACAGTAGTCTGTATCCCCATTGTCCTCACACGCTTCTTTGAAGTAACCTCTGACAGAGCACTTGCAGAAATCTCTCCATTCTCAATCTCTTCTAACTTCGCCGATATATAATCATCAGAGGGTTCGAATGCTTCCTCGAGGTTTCCGTGTGCAGCTTCATATGCTGCACGCATCGCTTGCTTCTCTGTTTGTGACACTGGTCTGCTGACACCCAGCATGCGAGCCTCAGCCCGCAACTCGGACTCCTTGCTTGCGTATTCTTTCGCAGTCTCCCAGGCGGAGACCACCGAGGCCACAGCTGCCCGGGTTGCCTGATCAGTCGCCTCCAGAGTGTGATCATCCTTCAGAGCAGTCCGCACATCCGCCCGGGAATCAGCATATGTAGAAAAACGTTTGACAGACTGGAAGTTCAAAGTGAGCCGGTACTGCAGCCCCAATGGTACACCACACTCTTGAAAGATATGCACCAAGTCGGAGCTCACATTCTTATCCAGATGATTCAAGGCTGCTGCCTGGTCCACACCGGCTGGCAGGTTGGTCGCCATGCTTGCACGAGCGCGCTGAGGTCCTTAAGAGCACATGCGACAAATCAGCAAAACGACCTAAGCACTTGATGCGATCCTCCCAGGACAGCTCAACAGTTCCGTGAACTTTCAGTCCCTAAACCTTCATGAAGAAACTTCGCATCACACCTCTTTTGAGCAAATCATGATGCAATGGTCAATCACCTCAACTTCAGATGCACTCCACCGGCATCAATCCTTCAGCTGCACTCCACCCGCAGCTCAACTCTTCACTCTCAGGCTGCACTCCACCGGCAGCAATTGCAAACTTGCAAACGATCCCTTGTTTTCACACGAGAGCTCCAGAATCGCTCAGCCAACAAAACTCGGCTCTAACCCTTCGGGCTCCTCCGGTTCCACCGGATTTTCCACCTGAGTGTCCTCAGATCCACTAGTGGATGAGCCTTCAGCACTCTCAACCTTGGGTTTGCACAATTTGCAAATGGCGTCTGCAATGCCTTCTGACAACTTGAAAATCGGGAGTGTCTCCAAGCAATTCTCACGCCGCACAGCGCACTTCTTTGAAAGATGCAAGCGGCGAAAACCCTTTCTCGAAATCGTGATGAAGTAGGGTGCATCATCCCTGTCCTCCTCTTGCTCGAAATCTTGATAAGGCCCAGGCAGATCGGCACCCATGTTGCCGGCTGCAGCCCTGACCCGGTCTGGGGAAACAGCGAACGAGGGAAAATTCCCCCCAAGCTTCCAAGTCGCTCCCACATCATCCCACTGCAGGACAGAGCATGCTTTGACAATTTCATCCCCGGCCAGATGCAATGCTTCAGCATACGACCGCATGGTGCAAAACAACTCTTCCTCAGTATACCCGCCATCCGTGTGTCCCATGATGAGGCACTTGCAAATGAAATTCTGTACCCCTTGCACCACCTGCCTCGAAGTCAAGACATAATCTTGTGAGCCATGCTGAGCATAAGCCCAGCGCCCAAGATAATCTCGCCGATCCTTGCTCACACCTAATGCAGCAGCAAGACTGGTAGCAACATGCCGCGCGCTGTGCCCTGTCCAGAAGTTTGCCATCTCCCCTGGGAAAAGCAGCTCACGTGCAACCTTCCAAATCCCTTGTTGCCTCACCGGCGTCGGCAAGTGTTTGAGAAGCCGGCGCAACTGCAAAGCCAAACCTTAAGCCTTTGGCAGGTGTGTCCCACTCGGCACTGAATGCAGGGCAAAGGAAGTCACGCGACCATGACAATGCACTTGCACTCAAAAGCTTGTAACCCTCGCCTAGCCAGTCATACCCACTCAGGCCAACAGTCCTAGCAACGAAAGCGTGCAACTCACCGACCTTCCGCCCTGGCCCACTCGTTTTCGTTTTCTTCAAAACGAATCGTAATCCAACCTGGCTGAGTTTGAGGCTCTCGGGGTCGATGTTCTGCACGTCGTCACAGCGAAGGCTCGCCCAGGTCATGAGCAACAAAGTGAAAGCAGTAAACCGCAACCCCAGCTCATAAACAGGCCTGCAAACTACCATCTCGCAAACAAGAAAAGCAGCAACTGGTAGCATCGGTGCTGGCTTAACTGCTGG